CCCGTTTGTAAATAGTTGAAGACACAAATACCGTGTAGGAAACGGTTAGAAGTGCAGTAACCAGCATCGACGTTTTTTTCACAAGCAACTACGAAGCGTAAAATTATTTACATTGGATCAGAAAGAAAATCGAATCACATTATCTTCAATGAAATCAGTCAATGATATTTTTGATAGTGGCCAGAAATTTGATATCAATAAATTGAAATTAAGAAATACACGTATTTATAAAACAACGTCTGTCGGTGTTGGGATAAGCCAGTTTGTCTATTGACTTCCTAATATTCTTAAATTACCATTACCAACCCGCTAATGTAGATATGTTTTCTCAAAAGACATACCTACGCCCACCATACGCTGTGAGGCTAAAGCTCTTAAACATAACTACTCGTAGTTAAATAAATGAGGCGACGCTTCAACAAGAGCAAGCAAAAGCAGTTTAAAAGCAAATGCCAGTATATAACTGTTGTTACCTGTTCTATGGGGTGCAATGAACCTATATATCTCTAGCTTAATATATAATGCCCCCATAGCATCCAACCAATTTACACGACTTGCCTTGAGAATTTATCGCTTGTAAATATGTGCCATTAAAGCAAACAGCTCCATTTCAGTTCCATGGAAAGTAATTGTTTTTCCTAAATGACAGGCTTGCATGTGTATACCTTGCACCAAGTAGGTTGTTATCTACTCCCGGCACATACGGAAGTGCCACCATTTTAGAAATGGCCAAATTGCTCCTATCAGTTATACTACAAACCCAAATTTTCATAACTGTCTCACGTCAACTTTTTGAGTAATCAGTCCTGATAGTTCTACGTGGGGCACACTGTGTTGTGAAGTACAGGCAGTCCTTTAATTCCTCCCTAGAATGAAATTTAGGAAACGAGAAAGACATGTATGGTTATTTTAATAAAATCTGTCACTTCAGCAAACTTTGTAAGACTACATCCAAGGAATAGTTGAGCTTAATCCATAAAACTTTGGTATTTTCAATCGTAAGAAAACAACGAGTGAACTCAATAATTTTCTCATTGCTAAATGAAACCACGTATCTTTGAATCACTTTTTTACTGACGTTCAGCCACCGTTGTGGCTTTTTTCAAAGTACACATGCCAATTACAATGTATTTTATGTTTTCTTGTAATTTGCGCTTTAAACAAATGCTAAAGTAGTGACCAAATCGTCAGTAAAAAGGTAATTCACATTCACATGTGTGGCTTTATCTGGCAGACAGACAATCATGATATAAACATGAAAGCCACACTATATGTTTCAGGTACTACATTTGTATGCAGAGTAGCTGACTATCATGGTCTTTTATCTCTGAAAATGTGTCAAGTAAAGTGGGGGAATATACCGCGCTGGGTAATACGCCTCAACTTGGTATCTTTCTTTTAAGCCTATATTTGGCAACAGTGTTAATTTGAACACGTTCTTCTAATGTAGCAATCTTCTGTGAATACCTCAGTAATCAATTTAATTAATTTTTTAGTGAATATCGTCAGTATAAAGGCAAGGACCATTTAAAGAATATCCTCAGTCAAGTTATACTCAGTGAGAAGTTGTGTTTTTAATCCAATTTTAATCAGAGAATGCCGACATACGATTTTAAGCTAACTGTTTTTGGCGGAACAATCCGTTAGATGTATCTAAAATAGGTGTTGCCATTTTTTGATGTAATAAGGTACAATTTGGGGTAATATGGCTACAGGTTCCAAATGCCATGATTGAGCTCACGAGATATGTACTCCTTCAGACATATATTATAGCGATTGTGTCCCACTAAATCAACTAGCAAGTACCTACAGAGCTCTACGTAGATATATGAGATTTATTAGTCCCGTTGTATTGCTTAATAATACTTATGTTGTTTGGATTATATATTTCTTCGAACCTAAAAAAGTTGTTCAATTTCCACGAGATGAGCAGTTTGCTATATTCCCCAAAGCATTCCATACTACCCACGGGTACGGGTAATATGGCCATAGCGTATCATTCGACATTTTTGCTTCTAAACATTCTTCAGTCCGGGATTATGTCAACGAGCATTTTACGTCACATACTCAAATATACACGCTCTAAGATGCCGCCTTTCCCTTGTGGTTGGGTTGGTTGCTTGTTAGAATGTGAGCTTTTGAAATTTATGTTGCCATATTCCCCCACTTTACATTCATGCTTTACAGCCCTGGTATGTGACCTTCGCAACAGACGTTGATGAACAGGTTTCGCATACGTCTTCTACCATTCTCGTACATATTCTATACGGGACCTCAATGCTTGTTTAGTGATCCTGTAGGGGTATATCTAATCATATATTAAAATATTTTGTAAAACTATTGTGTGCTACCTTATTGAGGGTCCCTTAGGTTATGCGCAAACAAAAACAGTCTAAACTCTACTAAACTGTATTACGTTTGACAGACAAAATAATGTATAACTACGAAAATATAATAAGCTAACTCAAAATAACCCACTTCAAAAGTCATTCTTAATTCAAGGCATATTTGTGGTTAGTTTTTTTTTTATATCGAAGCAGCCGTGCAGGCAGCAGCGTAAATGCCGGAACACCGCGGCTGCTATGATGATCCCAAAGAAATTTTATTAATACGATTTTTGAACTGCCTAAGGTTAATAGAACTGGGAAAAGCTTCCTCTTGTAGATTGTTCCACCATCTAGACACCCTCGGGAAAAAGGAGCGGTCGTATCGGCCGGTTCTGGATGTACGAAGTTCGACACGGTTAGGATGGGACGCCAAAGTTAGGCGGGTCTGTCTGGCAGGCACATCGCGCGACGGCATCATGGAAGAGAGCTCTGAGGAGCAAAGCCCGTTGTAGTCGGGGTTGTAGTCGGGGCGGCAGCACCCCAAACGTGCGAGCAATACTCGAGGCTAGGCCTTATCTGGGCCTTGTATAGAGTGAGAAGGTCATACGGAGAAAAGTACTTCTTAGCCCTAAACAGATAGCCTAGCTTTTTTCCAGCAGCTGCAGCTATTGACGAGATGTGTTCGTGCCAGATCAGGTCCTCGGTGATCTGGACTCCGACCAGCCGAAATGAATGGCTCTTAGGCAGAACTCGACCACCCATCGAAACCGGGTGAGCGCAGGGACGCTTTTTGTTCGTCAAAGTACAGTACTGCGTTTTGGAAGCATTGAACTGTACAAGATTGTTGCGCCCCCAAGCAGTGATAGCCTCCAGGTCTCTTGTCAGAGAGGAAGTCATCGCTAGTCTTCTTTTTTCCAACTCAGCGGCAGAGATCGGCTTGTCACTCTGAATTCCTGCATGTAGAGTGCTGTCATCAGCGAAGCTGTGGATTGAGTTGATCGTGCAGGAAAGGAGGTCGTTGATATGTAATAGAAACAGTGTCGGAGCCAAGAGCGATCCCTGGGGAACACCCGCGTTGACATTGTGGGATGGAGAGGAGAACCCGTCAATTACGACGGATATCTTGCGGCCAGAGATAAAGTCAGCCACCCATCTGCAAAGCTTTTTTGGGAGGCCATAGGATGGAAGTTTGCTTAAGAGGGCAGCGTGCCACAGCTGATCGAACGCTTTCGTGATGTCAAGAGCAACGACATGAGCCTCACCATAAGACTGGATGAGTTTACTCCACAATTGAGTGACGTAAGCTAGGAGGTCCCCTGTGGATCGTTGGTGCCGGAAACCATACTGCCTGTCACTAATCAAGCCGTGACGTTCGAGGTAGTCCAGAAGCTCGCGATTTATGCACCTCTCCATCACCTTAAAACAGAAAGCAGAGTTATAGGCCTGTAGTTGTAAGGGTCGGTCTTAGATCCCTTTTTTGGGATGGGTTGGACATGAGCAAGTTTCCAGTTTTCTGGGAAGGTGCCGGATTCATAAGATATCTGGAAGAGACGCGAAAGAACTGGAGCAAGGTCCGGTGCACACCTCTTCAGTACAATGGCAGGAATCAAGTCCGGACCAGAAGTTAGTAAATATATACGCTATTCTGTAAGAAACTCACTCTGTTGTAACTTTGATGCTTGTTACCAGTTATCGTTTTCTTATGCTAATCTGTTTTATATGCTAGTCGTAGATTATGTCATACTGTACGATAAAACTTATTTTCCTCTGATATCCAAAAGAGCAGCTGTTCTTAATAAGTGTATTTCAAGTAGAAACTTCAATTCTAAATATCCTAATAGCCAAATCTAGTTCATTAAATGAGCATGAAGCATATAACCCTCTTAGTTAGAGGGTGGGATTAAATGAAGTCCTAATGGGCTTTCATGCTGAAGGAGGTGCATAGTGCTTTTGAAATTACGAGTATATCCTGTAGTTCTCATGGATTTCTGTTAATGATACAGTGAATGATCTATGTTTAACTAGTTAAAATACCCCTAGATACATGAACATGCAAGATAATTTTAATAACTGATATAGCATTATTGCAGGAGATTTCAATATAAAATTATTACTTATAGTTTTGAACAGATGATAAAAGAGAACACACGAAATAACCATTTTATTGATAACATTTTTATAAATTTGATCATAGATTCAAGTGTAACATCTATCGATTCAAGTTTTTGTTCTGATCATCTGGGCCAAAAATTGATTTTCTATCCTCCGGTTGTGATCTCGCAAGTCAACCAAAACGGTCTGTAGACCTATCACAGAGTATGATAAGTTAGTTTTCTTTAACCTTGTAGACAATTTGACGTGGGATTTCATTCAGGACTGTTCTTTGGACTGTACACAAAAATTTGAAATATTCATTGATAACTTGCAAACTTGTATTTCCCAGAAAAAGTACTGCCTAGTAGATGTGATTTGACATACAATGCAAACTGGTTTAATAGCGACCTCAGAAATATGAGAACACATTTATTTATCCTAAATTCCTTGTATAACAAAGAAAAATCTGGTTACATGAAAAAAAGACTAAACAGCTTTAAGAAAAAATATAAACAAAAAATAAATGCAACGAAAAAAATTATAATGAACAATTCATTAAAACTTCGGATTGTTAAACAAATGAAGACTATGTGGGAAACTGTTAGGAAAAACAAAAATACAAGCACTGGTATGAATACGTCAAAAGAACCCAATGAATTCAACGACTTGTTCTGTACCATTACGAATAAACTGTTAGAAAACTTGGATGCAGGAGAGCTACATCCAGAAAGTAATATAGTTCCACCAATGCGCCACTTCAACTTTGAAAAAGTATCATTTAATGACGTCAGAGATGCTATCAATTCTCTTAAAAGAAAGAACTCTAAAGATATTTATGATATGAGCACTCTTTTAATAAAAATGATCAAAAATCAGATCGTAATGCCTCTAACCAAATTAATTAATATTTGCATTGAGTGTGGCATATTCCCGGACTGTTTAAGACGTGCAGTTTTCACAAATGGCGATACTGACAATATCGCAAGCTATCGCCCAATATCATTACTTATGGTCTTACATTTTGAAACTGATAACATGTTCTATTTGAACCAGTTTGGATTTCGGTCTCAAAAAAACACGACCTTCGCAGTTTTGGAGTTGGTCGACGACATAATTGACGCTTTTGAAGAAAAAGAATTCTTGCAGACCATATTCTGTGATTTGAGCAAGACATTTGACTGTGTATCACATACCATCTTAATCAGAAAGCTCAGAATGTATAACAGCTTCTTGCGACCTAATCAATACGTATTTAAAACGGAATTAAAACGTCAGATGAAAAGCATATTGAACACGGTTGCTCTTTAAATCATTTGTATTATTTCACTGTACTTTTTTATATGCTATTATATATACACATTTGTCATCTGCAAAGTGGATTAAAAGATTATTATCTATGTATACTATAAACATTTTGATACAGACTGACGTGTGTAAGTACAGTATGTACACTAACACCAATAAAGTATTGTATTGTATAGCACATCCACAAGTTATGTTGGAAAGCATTTTCCGAGAAAAGGGGTTTTAGACGACTTAGCTTCTCATGGTGAAAATCTTTGCCACCCCCTAACAGCCTGTATTCACCGTGCATTGTCTTTCTCAAAGACATATACCATATTGTTAATTGCGAACAAGCAACAAGCGGAGCTGGCTCCCTATGCAGTTGATTACAAAGACGCAAAATGCGTTCATTAAATATCCACACGAGGAGTATACCATTTCATACATGAGACATTCACTTAAATTGTTTTTGCACCTATTTATAGGCACACGTGGTAGAGTGGAAGACACATTGAATGCATCCGATTAGGGAGAAATTGTTACTTTTCCCGATGCAACGTTGTTTTCCTTGTAGTGATGAAAAGGGGTTATAAGATATACACAGCTATGTTTTATGTATTAGAGTAGTTTTATATGAAGAGTCCTTACTTTCTGTTCAAAACGTTTCAGCGCCATAGATTGTTCCGTCTCTGCTGTTTGTAGATTTAATCCAACATGAGGCTTTTGTTTAGACCACAGAAAGCTTCCATAGCCTTGTCAGCTTTTTATGCCGCAATAGTGACTATACCCCGTAGTCCATTTACGCCCAGACAAAACACAACATGCCCAAAAGCGAGATTGTACAGGTCCGTATTTTCCTCAATGGTCTTCGAATAATCTAACAAAACTAATTATTAATTTCATAAAAAGAAGTGCACATACTTTCCACAATTCTTTTTTCGCTGGAAGTACTTGAATCACCGTCGGAATGGTTAATATTAATTATTTCAGGTTCAATTTGAATATTGATCATATTGTCCAGATCCCACATCTTTGTTTCGATTGTCTCTTGAACGTGACGAATGCAATCTTTCCAATGGTTTGCCGTCACTCTATTGACAGCTTCATAAAACAAATTTTTCACGTCATTTTCTGCCCTTCTTGTGGATATTGTGGGATTTTTTTCTAGTTTTCTAGTGTGGTATGCAGCATTGTCAAGTACAATGATAGCATTGTCGTCAAACTTTGGGAGCGTTTTTTCAAACCATCGTTCATATGAACTCCCGTCCATTTCTTCACGGTAGTCGGTCGTTTTCTTTGACTCAAATGCCCATAGGGCAGTGCGCACAAAGCCATCTTCGCTGCCAATGTGACAGATAACAAATCGTTTTCCTTTTCCTTGAAATAATCTTTTCATATAGTATTCAAAAATACTAATGATAATATAAGCAGAGTATCTAACAGGTGTTGGTTCAAAATCTATCCAACAGCTTCGTGTAATCCAGCCTCCTGTGTGGTGGAGACAATTTTTTGTTGTTTATATTCTTTTACAATGTTGAAAATCGTCTTAGGGCATAAGCCGGTTTTGTTCGCCACATGTCTTTCAATATTATGAATTTCCATTCCAGGATGCTTTAAAATTTCGCTCTTATAAACGTCAAGGACAATTTCTTTTGCCTGAATATTCAAATATCCTTTCTTGTCACGTTTTCGGGGAGGAGGCATCACTGAAACATGGCTGAAGAAAGTATTGGGAGAAATATTCTCAGTTTCATCTGATGTATCCGTAGACGACATGCTAGCGTATTAACACAAGCTATGTATGCACCGAATATGAACAGCAACTGCCGGCATCGGCTTGCCGGCGATACCCCGAGCCTGAGTTCTATCCTATCGAATCCTGCACTTGTTCATACTTTTATGATCGAATGACCAATAGCTATTTCAACGCTTAGGCGGCTGCCGCTTTGCTGCGCTGCATCTTTGTTGTGCCGGGGCGTAAGTGAACTACGAATAGGGTATAACCTATCTATAACTAACTATCACTCAGTCGTTAGTTCCAAATCCCACAATTTCATCGTGGTAGGCAGCGTTGCGCCAGTTATTCATACCGAATGTATTGGTTATTCTATTTCCAGTCCCACTATCGCATCGTATCTATGTATATGCACAACCCAGCAAGTAGAAACCTACTGTTGGTTCCTCGGTCTGTTTTTATCATCCAAAACCTTGTTCAACATCATTCGCCTCACTACTGGTTGTATATCAACTAGTTTGCCCTCGCTTAGATGCCTGGCAAAATTGTCAGCAGTGCGTCTCTCGACAATAGTCAATTTCAGCTGTTTTTGTCATATTCGAATAGATAACTAGGAGTATTCTCCTTTTCATAGCAATATATGTTACTTCTTAAAGTAACTGCCAGTACAACCATGTCTTGAGAGAAACTGAACAGTATAGAAATCTATCCGCATCGCTCCCTTGTTTAATATTCACAATCAGCCGCATAGTCCATGCATGAGTTCTGTACATCAAGCTAATTTGGAGGTTAAGTTTTGAGATAATAATAAAAAATAACTTAAAGTATTTTTCCGGTATTACAGGCGACTTAGCATGCTTTACATATTCGTATCTTTCAGATTATTACAGATAGATAGACGCCCCAAGCAGTAAATAAAAATTGACAATATCATAAACTCAACATATAAAACTCGTTTTACGCAAAACAGACTTAACCTAGTCTGGCACGACTATTAGTGACAAACCTTTAAATGACACAAAAAGTCATCTTGCGACTAGGTAGTCTTTAAGGTGCAAATAGTTCATTACGCGTTTGCTCGCTATGAGCGTCCATCTATGGAGGAATAACTGCACGCTTTGTTGATTGCGGAGAGCAAGTATATGTTTTGTGAAGCCGGGTAGTCTGTACTGTGTCTGAAGATGTGAAAGAAAATTGGCTGAGTGGGAAGATCGTATCTGGATGATTATGTGTATTGGTCTCCATGTGTATAAAGTCAATTATATTTGCTATGTGAGAACGTTATTACTGAATATGCTGCGAATGAAGTATATTTATTAGCTGTGTCCGACGGTTTATTTATTTGTTGTCTTTTCTGATGGCAGGCTATGTTCAAAGTTACAAATTACGATTTCTTCCGTTTTTTTTTTGTGTTTTCAAAAACTTTGAAGAGCATTACGGGAAATCGCCACCGCGCCCGCGTTGTGCGCAATTAAGCCACATCATCACAAATCGAACATTATCGCAATGCCTTGCAACTAGGCGCTGATTTGTATTTTCTCTTGATATCGCAAAATAAACTCCTTTAAAACTTAAATGATTGGAAATAAAAAATCATATAATAACCTTTTTACTTTCATAAATATGCCTGTCTGTAGCAGATCTTCTCACCTGTTCCTTCACCAACCAGGGATTTTCTTTTCCTATCTCTCTCAGTGCTAACTTAACATATTGTAGAAAAACCTAAATAATGTAACAAAACACAATACAATGTCAAAAAAAATCGACACAAGGTCGCCATAAACTTTTAATTTTCAGGAAATTTTCTATGCGGAGAAATTAATTAATTAACGTTCGGCATTGTTACAGTTACCTTTCTGTAATTTTTTACATTTAAAATTTGCCAACGCCGTACATATCTGCTGGTACAAGGGTGAGAAAACTCGGGTCGCAACCCCTGCTTTAGACCTCTATGGTGGAAAGTCATCGGAAAATGTACGGCATTCATTTCAATCTCTTGTTTAACATCTAAAATAACTTTAAATAATAATGCCGTCTTAAAAATTTTGTTCATATAAATAAAAATAAATAATTACCAAAATTTGGGGGTGCAATATCATTTTCTTACAATAAAATCATAAGATACTATACGGCAATCAATTCTGTTACAAAATTATATTAAATATTGACATGAATAACAATAACAACATGAAAATATGTTAAAATAAAAAAAAATATAAATTTTCAAAAATTTAATGATTTTTAAATGTACTATTTATTAATAACAAAAGTGATATTATAAATTATTTTTGCTATTTTATGTTTATCAAAGATTAAAAAACAAAAAAAAACATATGCCGTACAGTTTTAGGTGTCTCTAATGGTTATTAAATACTGTACGGCATAAACAAAATTATATTTATAACTAAAAATGAATATGAAAAATTATTATGCCGTTCATTTTACATGGAACATTACGTATAAAACGGTGTGAAGTTCTGAATAGTATTTTTTTATTATAAAAGCTTCACAACAAAGCTTTATTTGTTAAAAGACGGATAATTTTAAATCTTATTATCTAAAAAGTTCGCTTGACTGATTTCACAGAAAGCATCAGATTTTTATCATTTAAGTTCATTTTAAAATACTAAAATTTACTAATTATTAATTATACACGGACTGTTACTCAGCAGTGCGAACTTTATTATTTTAATTTAAGTTAAATCTTAAATCACAATCGAAATTTGAAGTATCCTTCAAAAATATAAAGTGAAACGCGTTATAAAGAGTTTTCGAGGTTTTCCCCGTGTGGCCATATATTCCACGAAAAATGTACGGCATTATCAAAATGTTCGTCAATTTAACAAATACTATTAAAATTATTTAATTTTAAGTTGTATCAATTCACCACCATTATACTATATAAGGGTAGGGGGTTGCGACCCAAGATTTCTCACCCCTGTACCAGCAGATATGTACGGCGTTGGTAAATTTTAAGTGTAAAAAATTACAGAAAGGTAACTGTAACAATGCCGAATGTTAATTAATTAATTTTTCCGCATAGAAAATTTCCTGAAAATTAAAAATTTTTTATGGCTTCCGGCACGGCACCATTATTTCCGTACGGCACTAAGTACATCGTGATTATTTTGTTGGCATCTGTGATACTAAAGAAAGCCGTAAAAAATCATTTAGTCTTTCCCGACCCCTTCTGGACAGAAAATTCAATTTTCCCCTGTACTTACATGTACCGCTCTCAAGCGACGGAATAGTGCTAGAAGTTATTTTTTCATGTAGTCCTATCGTTCTG